AGGCTTTTGTTCCAGCCTCTCGGAGTCACAGGGAAGCCCTGTTCTGCCAACCAGCAGTCAGCATAGCTCCGGTTTGCTGTCACTCCTGACTGCTGGGGGAGACTAGCACGTCTCCTTCTGCCGAAGAGAGCTGCTGAAAGACACCTCCATGTCAGGGTCTTTCACAGAATGACCCCTCCTGGCATAGCCCTGGTCTAGCAAGACAGCAGTAAGGAAACTGAAGCCTCAAAACCCGAACAGGATGAGAAATGTGTAGCTTTCAGAGAATGCTGGAGCCAATGTGATGTTTCAGAGCCAGCCTCTATTCTTAGACGAGTGATGAAAGTCATAATTTAAAAATAAGATCCAGTGCAGTGCTAGCAAAGAGCCATATTCGCGGTATTCCTGTGAGTAAATCACTCGACATGAATTGGCTTGGCTTGAAGCTCAGAAACACTCCACCGAAATAAAGGCCAGCTGCGAGGCGTCCATAGTACTGCTCCGAACGGGAGAGAAGTACACATGGCACTTGCCACATCAGGTGCTTTGCCTTTCCCCCCAACTCATGCCTGTAGTTTACTCAGTATTACAGGTCAAATGAGAGCTTTCCAAGGGCCTCTGTAGGAGTTAGCCCATGCAAGAGGTGAAATTTGATGTATCTATTCCCTCTTCTGAAAATCCCTCCCAGGCACTTCGGCTGCTGTGGTTCTGCTGCCTGATGGGGAATAAATGCTGCTTTTATATCACTGACAACCATTTCTATTTTGCATCAAGGTTACCAAATGCTGTGTTTTATCTCAGAATCTCTAGATGTTCCCTCTTAGAGTCATGTGTAGCAAACAAAGGCCCAATCTCAGGCTGGCTTTGAGCAGGGATGGCCACAGATTGATGCTCATGGGTTAGAGGTAGGATGAACTTCATGTGGAGCATCTGAATCACAGTCATTTTATTGGGAGAAAAAACACAGAACTAGCTGTATTCAAATCCTGTTCATCTGTTGCTTTAGTGCTGTTTGAATTTTGAGGTTTCCCACAGAAACCTCACTTGTTTTTTACAGCCATGACTGGATGGAGGGCATAATCCTTTCCCACTTGGGTCATACAGAATTTTTCCAGTAACTTTAACTGAAAGAAGCTGAGACCTTATAGTTTCCTCTTGTGTTTAATCAGGCCAATGTGAACTTTAGTTAAGATGATGCCAACAAGTAAAACACTGGATCTCATAATAATGTGCACCTGGAGCTGATTTGGTGGTTTTACTCACCACGTAACACTCGCCTATGAATCCAGTCCCACCAGAGTGAGCTGGAACACGTGTGAGTTAAACTGCTGTTTTAACCTGTGCAAAATGATCAGTGACCTGTTCTCACGGCCTGGCTGTGAGGTCTGAGTCGTGCCTGTTAATTCCTGAGGCTTACACTGCCCAGTGATGTCAGCAGGAGTCTTGTAAGAGTCAGCAAGATGTTCTTTCCTCTAATGAAGTTATTTGATTATTCTGTACAGTGCATCTAAGCTGTAAAGCAGTTTTACACAGGCTGCTACCAAAGCTGCACTTCCCATTCTAAAGTTTCACACTACAGTTTTATGAGGGAAAGAGTTACCTACATCTGGAAAACAGTTAGAAGATAAAAAAAGCCAGAAGTTAGAGAAGTCAAGAGGGTATGTAATGAGCATTAATAGTTCAGACAGAAGACAGAACAACCTACTGAAGATTTCATGTTTTATTGTTATTAAAAGTTCATTATGAAATCAGCACGACACATAAAAATAGATCTGTGGTGAATGGTACATATTACTGTTATTGCCCGGTCAGTTTGTGCACAATCTCACTTTGTAAAATCAGAAGGTAATGAAAACAAGACATTTCATCAGGGAACTGTGAAACCAGTGTTTCTGCAGCAGAGAGAGGCCGTGCTTCCTGTTGACTCTACCCAATGTATAATGCAGTCAGAAATAGTCCTCTATTCATACTTAAAAATAAACTCAGTTTTAGAGTATGCCCCAGCTGAAAATAACCGGAGAGTGAGAGCTAGAAATAACCCTTTTCTTAGGGACCTATTTCCATGAAAGTCAAAGGGATTTTTGACATGGATTTCAAAAGCAGCAGGACGTGGTTATTTGTTGAGAGACAGATGGAAAGACCTAGCAACAGGAACTAGGGAGGACCTGTGGCAGAGTAGGAGTTTATTATTTAGATCTTGCACATGCTGCTGAATCTCCTTGTTCTAGTAATTGTCTATGTTCATAACAGCAGTGATTGCTGGGAGGAGCTGGGAGGGTGTATCAAAGCCAGATAGGGCGTCTGCAGCTCATTTTTTCTCCCTGTTTGGGTTGGCCTTGGTTCTAACCCCACACACCATTCACTGCAAAGTGACTTTCACCTGTACACTTTCTGATCCATGTGATAAAATCAGAACAATACCCACGATTAGAAAAAACCCTCACCAGGTCTCTTACTGTTCCTAGACTGGTGTAAGCTTTTCTTCTGAACTTCTGTGCTTATCACAGTGAGTATTTGGGGCTGCCTTCAGCCTGATTCTTGTGCCTTATACTGTCATATTAATTCCAGGGGTGCTGGGAGGTTGTTAACTGGCTCAGCAGAGTTGGGGTTCTGCAGTTTTCTGCCTGGAAAGGTCTCTGTAACCAGCCTCTGAAGAAAACAGTGCTGGAGTTTTCTGTGGGGCATACTTGTGGACAGGAGGCAAAATGAGCCCCACGTCAGATAAATGCCTCTCTTATATCAGACAAGTAGGAACACAAATCCATTCATGCCTTCCAAGCTCATAAGCAATGCTGGCTTTTTGCCATGTGTCCTGGCAGGGGGTTGCAGAAGGTGGCAAATAAAAATGTGGCAAAAGCCCATCCCTGGGAAGCTGTCCTGCATCTCCTGTCTGGCTCTGAAATGCCCACCAATGCCCTCTGAACTCCTGCTCTGTTAGGGCTAAAGCATGTCATGCTACCCCAACCTCACCACCAAGCTGAAGAGCGCTGTGGCTACTCTGGTCTTGTTTCCTCCACGGTGAATAGTTTGAAATCCAAAGATAAAAATCTCAGTGCTGCTCCCTACGTGAAAATCTCTGGGCTTCAGTCTCAGCCTCACAGCAGGAGAGTGACAAGGGTGGAAAGCTGGCACAGCAGAATGGTGAATCAGGCTCTCCCTTTGGTTTCCAGGCTGTTTACTCAAAGCAGCCCTTGAGAAAGGTGCAAGGCCTCAAGCAGATGTCACATTCAACCGGTTTAGCAATATTATGCCTATTTGTGCTCAAACTAGTCAAGGAGGGGAGGGAGAATATAATATGTTAGTGCAAGTTCTCATAGACAACACATGAATATTTAGTACAAAATGTTCTTACAAGGTGGGGCAAACATTTCTAATTGTGACACAAAAAGAAGGTATTTTGTAACATTTTTAACAACTTGCCTGTGAAAAAGCGTTTATGTGAAATATGTTTAGACACAGACTACCTCACATGACACTGAAATATTTCAAGGCTCTGAGTAGGCAATAACCTAGTTTTGGTTTCTCTAAAATCAAATCAGCTTTATCACAGCCAATCCCAAGCAAAATTAAATAATTTGGTTGTGGTTTTTTTGCTTTGGTTGTTTTTTCGTGGTTTTTTTTTTTTTTGTTTGTTTTTTTTTTTTTTTTTGTTTTTTTTTTTTTGTTTTTTTAGTTTTTCCTCTTTGGAAAAAATAAAGCTATGCTAAGTTGAATGATTCCACTGCACATGGATTTTACCCATTCAAGGCTTTTTTAATTTCAGAATCAACTTCCTCATTCAGAGGAAATCGCAGAAATATTCAGCTAATAAATTTTAGCATAAGGTTTCAAAAGTTGTTTTACACACTCCTTAAGTCCTGAAGATTTGCAGCTTCCAAGAAGCTCACAGACTACTTGTCTCTACTGAAAAACCTGGTGCAATTTGGAAATAGTCTTTATTTCTATTAGGACCTTATATTCAAAATGAAGATCTGAATCATCCCTAAGCTGTGGAGACCTAAAAATTCAGATATAAATTTTGCAGCACAGTCTCCCACCTTAAACATTTGAAATTGGCTCAAGGTCCAACTGAGCAGAAACAGTTAAGGCCTCTGTTTTCTCTGACTTACACTGCACATACAAGTGTTCTGCAGTTGCTTCTTAACATGATTGGGCAGTGTAAGCCAAGCACCTGTGGAAACAGCCCTTGGTGACATAGACATCATCCTTCTTTCACCTGCCATTGCCTGGTAGTGCCCAAGAGCACAAGAAAAATAAAAAGGCTTCCAAGCAGGTGACAGATAGATAGATAGATGTGGAAGCCTTAACTGTGACTTTCTGCCCTTTCCTGAGCTCTCAGCCAAACCACAACCCGGCAGCAGAGGGTTCACAGCCCTTCTTGCCTTGAAGCCTGGCTCAGAAACCACAACGGGGCAGGATCAGGTGGTGGGTGCCGTGGTTGGTGAAGTTATGCAAAGGCAAAACCAGAAACAGGGTAAAAAAACCAAACATTTTCCCCAGACAGAAAACTCCTGGAGCGGGAACAAATGGGAGTGCCCAGCCCAGCAGCTGGGAGGAGGAGCAAGGCGGGATCAGCAGGCCCTTGCTCCCACCAGAGATGGCACTGACAGGTGGTGCACCGAGTTCACCTCAGCATCCCTGGGGGAGGCACTGCGCTGTGCCGAGACTGCGCGGGAGAGCAGAAGTGCGAGGGCTGTGAAAATTCAAGGCAGCCAAATTGCTTTTCCTGGGATACAGCAAAGGCATGGAAGGGGAAATCTCTATTGGTGTGCTGTCAGGGAGATTCCCTTTGGGTTTGAGCTACTGCAGGGTAGACATGCTACTTACTCTCTCCTGCCTCCTACTTCTGGCCTCAGGCACTGGCCCTGCATCAGCAAACCTGGCTTTAGATATCCGGTTGGGAGAAAGCACTAGGCACAGAGGGTGCTAAATTTCTCTCCAAACATCTTCTGCCTGCATCAGCTTTGGAAGCATAGACCATTTCCAAGCTGGAGAAAAATCCAAAACACCTCATGTAGAAGCACCTTTCCCTTGGATTTTTATTATCATAATTTTTAAGAATATATTTTGTACCGAAACACTGTCAGCGTTTTTTATACAATGGAAAATGACACAGTCATCATGTAAAAGAGTAAAAACAGAGCAAGACAGGAACATTTCAATTCAATCTGGAGTACAAATAGAATCTGATGTAAAGCTTAAAAGCCACACATCAGATAAAAAAGTCACCTGGAAAACAACAAGTTCTCTCTTAATTTGGAAGTAGGAAGAAAAGTCAGGGAGTGTCAAATGTTAAGGCTAAAAATTAAATTTTTAACTTGTATTTTATAGGTGGCAGCCTGATTCTTATTTTGTCTGGAGCAGCAGCAACAACCCCTCAGCTTTACAAAGAGATTTGCACTTGCATGAAATAAGAATCAGGCTTCTATGCTCAGAGGACTCTGATTGACCTCAACAGGCTTTGGACTAGAGCCACAGTTGGAATTTCAGCTTGCAGTCTAAGGCTTCTTAACTGCAGGCCAAATTAGCACAAAATGAGGCTTTGCATTGGCATTCTACCCTTAACTTTGGATATTCCAGTTCTGGTGGCTTTAAACCACAGTTTTATTGCAGGTTAAACACAGTTCTGTTTGTGAGATTCTCCTCTCTTTTTTTTTTTTTTAATACTGTGCTACAAAGGATGTTTTTTATAGTCTGTGTTTTAGTCCCTATATTATGTGTTTCAAAATTGCCTAAACATATGTTTATATCACGATTATAACTACTCAGAAAGACCCACTACAGACCATTGTGAGCAGCCAGGGAAAAAAGTGTATTTAGTCCTAAAGAAGTCAAGAAAGTGGCTGTGTTCATTTATAGTGTAGCGCAATGACTGTGTTTATACACCTATACCTACTATTTTAAAAGCTACTTGAAAAGTTATTATTCATGTGCAGTAGCTGATTTTCAAGCATTAATAACTTGGCTGTCTAGACAAGTTTTAATTGTCATATCAAAGGCCGAATATGTTCTCAAACAAGTGTAAAGAATCTCCCATCTCCCTTGGAAAGAGCCTGGTTCTCTTTCTGAACTAAGAGATTGCCAAATTTAACTTTTTCTCAGGTTATAAAAGCACAGTTAAACCTACAAATTTGGTTTTTAAGTTTTTAAAATGGATCGACTTCAACTCAGACCCATCCTGTGCAGCAAAGTTAGTAAGCCCTGAAAAACAGATCCTCGTGAATATGCGGAGTTCCCCCCACCAGCTACCATGCCCACGTTTTCCCAGGGCCTAGAGGGCTCCACTAAAACGTAACTAAATGTTCAGTAGGAAACATGTTTTTTTTCAAGAACGATATGTAAAGTTTACCCAAAGAACCTCAGACATTTTGTACATTCAAAATGTTTACACGTTGCCGTTCTTAACCGCCAGTAAGATTGTTCATTTTTTTACTAATAATACATACAATGAGTATAAATAAATAAACTACAGAGAAGCTTTAAAAATTGTATTAACAATACGTTGTGCAAAAACTCATAACGACCTACATTCTATGCAAATACCCTGACTAAAATACACAGGCTGTGTCCACACACCCTCAGTCAGTTTTTGCACAGCCTTTGGGCCAAACCAGCAGCTGGGAGCAATCAGCAGAACTCCACTGCAAGCTGTGGAGGCAATGCTGATTTACACCAGCAGAACAGCAGGCCCCAAGGTGTGTGCAAAAATACCATAGAAATCAGTGGGAATTGTGCTTGACTAAGGACTAGACAGTTTGATTGTACCCCATTAAAGTGAGTGGGAGTTTTGCCATTGATTTCCATGGAACCAGGCTCAGGCCCCGGGTAAGGACGTCAGCACGTGGCCCTATGTTGTGCTACACTACTCCACTTCAGTGCAGAAACAATATTTGCAAAAGAAAAACTCGTTTTTGTTGTCACTACTGTTCAGTAACCGGTTTTAGCGCTGCATTTCAGAAACTGCATTTCTGTGAGATTTGAAACAAAGACTGCAAGTCTTTCTGAATCCATTCCAATTTGATTATCCAGCACAGGTGGGCTATTTTGATCCAAGAAAAACGGCTCAATGTCTATTAACCAACAGTGCTCTTCATTAGGATAAAAAACAGCCCAATTCATCGGCACAGGAGTGAAGAACTGCATGCGGAAAAGGAACAGGGCAGCCTTCCTACCATAGCTGTGTCCGGAGCTGGCTGTCACTGCTCCAAACGGACGATGGCACCTGAGCTGGTTTGGAATCTGCAGTCCTAACAAGCTCAGCCCAGTTTTGTAAGCTGAAGATCTCCATTTATCTTTATTGTGTCAATTGCTGACAGTGTTTCAATACGGTGGTAAAAATCAAAGAGCTGATGTCCATCCACAAATATTCTAAAACGGGGATGCTCGCAAAGTATCTCAACCTGTAAAAGATAAATTGTTAAAGCACGTTGTTCGCAGCGTAACTGGAAAGTTATTTCACGGCACACAAAAAGCACTTTAAGTAGTGTTAGTGAAGTTACACACTGTGCTACTAATGTGCCACACAACAGCCAGGGCTGAGACCGGTTTTCCCCCTTGACACCAGTTACACTGTGATGGATCTGCTCTTACTGCCCAGGGACATTAATCCAATCTCACGCTGTCGTAGCAGTAAGCACACCGGAACCCAGTCCCACTGGCTACTGGGAGGTTTCGCCTCTTGGAATAAAGCCAGAAACAGACTCAAACCACTAATCACAGGAGGAAGAAATTGTATCTCCAACCCAAACCTTGCATTCCTTGCTACTTTTTTTTTTCTTTTTCCTTTTTTTTTTTCCCTGCAGAATAAGGCGGCAGTTCCCTCTGCAATGCTTTCCACACTACTGTTAATTTACTGGAAGGGAGCGAATATGGAGCAGGGAGATAGGTTTGTCTTTCCCTCCCACATACACAGAGCTCCTGCATAACCAAAAAGCCTTCACTCCTGTGGCTGCAGACAGCCCAGGACTCCCTGTTGGACTGGACTCCATCCTGGGGCTGCAGTGAAGGCAATGCAGTGCAGGATTGCTTGAATTCAGCTGGGCAGTTTGCACGAGGCACAAACCAGATCAGGGAGGGACACAGCTCATCCCTCCTCCTGAGAGACCTGCAGAAATGCTCTGGAAAAGCAATAAAGCCTGGAGCTGAACAAGCTTGGACAAGTTGGGAGACTCCTGACGTTAGGGGTGGCTTGAGATGGTGTCCCGTTGTTAAGCTCTGCTGGAGCTGCCCCAGCAGGAAGCAGGGACACGAGGGCACAGAACATGCACTTCTCGTGCAGGCCTTTGGAGACCTCCAGGTCTGGACAGGCTAAGGAGAAAATCTGCAGGAGAGCCACATGCAAATCCTGGGTCATTTCAAGAGGTTGTCCAGAGTGAAGTGCTGCTTCCAGGCACTTGACTCCGCTGCTATTACAGCACATAAAAATGCGAAGGGGGTGACAAACTGCCTGAGCCAAAGCCCAGCTGATGTGGAACACGTCGCACTGGGAGAAGTGGCAGCTGACAGTCCAGGAGAGCTTAAACTCCTGGACACCTGGTAGTGCACCAAGCACCAGGGAAGGGCCCGTGCTGCCACGTAGCTCCTGTGTCACTGCGGCAGGCGCAGCCAGCCCGAGGCCTTGTTATGTAAAAGATATGGTTACCCTCAACCCTGCTCACAGTCCGCTTCTCCAGATCACCCGGGGCCAAGCCGGAATGATAATTGGACTGGGCCACAAGTAATTGGCAAGAACACTTAATAGTCTAATTTATTCACTGAGAGGGAGACCATCAAAGGTACAAAGTCAGTTGGGAGCCTAAATTCCATTTGGGAAAAAAAGAGAAAAGAAAAAAAGAAAAGGGGGGAAAGAACAACTCCCTATCTACAGTATCTCACAGTAAACGTGCAATACTGCTGTCCTCCAACATCAACTGCCATTAGTGGGACACTCACAAAACACGCTCTGCGTAATTTGTCTGGCTCGTCTGAGGGCCCAGCACCACCCAGTGCAGCAGGCAGTGGAACCCTCTCAGCTGGAGCAGGACCCAGCCTCCAAGTCTTTTCAAGTGCATTTCCCACACCACCAAAGGGTGTTGCCAGTTCTGATGGGAGAGTTTGTAGAAGCAAGTAGAGCGCAACCAATTTGCAGCAAAACCAGTCACAAACACCCTCTTAAAGCCCAAGCATCTGGGGAGATGGTGAGCTTTTGGGGCTGGGGGAGATTATCTTGGGGGCAAGAAGGATTAAGAGAGTTTGGCAGCTGGTCAGAGCACTGGCATTTAGCAGAGGGGCTAGTGAGGTTTTGCAAGAGGGGTGGGGAGGAAGAGGAGGAAGGTTTTTCTGGGTCAGCTGCATGGAAAAGGCATGCAGCCTTTTTTCCTCAATGTAGTGAAGCAGCCCTCTGCAGCCACATACTTTGTTAGTCCTGATTTGCAAAGACATCTTCACGTAACCATAAACACTACAGATGGGAATCTGCTTCTAGGTCAACCCAGTCCATCCACAGTGCCACAGTATTTCTCAGAACACCATTTTCAAGTGACTACAGACTTAAATTTGATGGGAGGTTTAATCCCAGGGTTCAGGAAAGAATACCACTATTGCTTAGCTGTTTAATCTGCTAACACGAAGAGCTACGGTCAACCTCTACAGAACATCCCTGGAGACAAAGGATGAACATGATCCTTATTAGCCGCACTAAACTGTAAACACTATGTCCATTAAAAAAACCATCAAAACATACAGCAGTCCCACAGAGTATTTACATTCTCCAGTAATAACTTGTAATGCACTAATAACATAGAGGTACTTTTTAATATATAGCTATAAAACTAAGCTCAGGAAGTTGGACTTCATCACACAGTATTACAACCTCCGACTTGTCATAGCACCCAGGTGAGGTGTTCACAGCCCCATCCGAACTGCCTGCAGCTGCACGTAGCAGCAGGATCCCTGCACAACTTTTGATGGATACAAACAAACCAGCAACTGGTGTCTCAACAGGAGCAGCGCGGGCTACACTGTGATTTCAAGAAAGCCAAGTCAGGTCCTGCTGCAACTCAGATCAAATGACACTTTATCGGATACAGTGTAAGCCGCTGTCATCCTGGTACTCACCCTAAAAGGCTGGTCCGGTATAAATGGAAAGTAAGGAATAGACGACTGCTCTTCCCCCCATTCTCCAGCTACACAAGAGTTTCTGACAAACTGTCTGTCTGTAAACACAGCTTTCAGTTCTATGGCTACATCCGCAGGAGGATCTTCTGACTCCCCGCAAGTCAGACTGATGCCAAAGCTGCAACACAAACAGAACGGCTCTCGTTCAGCCAGAAAAAAACCAAATAAGCCCCAAATGCCGCCCAGGTTCATTTCTCAGCTTATCAAAGCCATTGGTATAGCGGCACAAGGGGGATGACAGCTCAGCTAGTTCAGAGAAACCCTGAAAGCTCAGCAGTGACAGGAACATGGTTATGGCATAGATATATATATATGTCTGTGTGTGCATGGTGTTGTACATATATGTGTACATATATGCATATATATATGCTCTATATGCTCCTTTACTCCCAAGTGAAAACGGGATCCCTTGAAGAAATGCCCCCTCTATGGGTCAAAGGAGAAATCAGCATGCTATATTTAAAATGATAAAAATAATCCTTTCCAGAAAGCAGGGATCCGTGTGTATGTGTACGTGCGTGTGGCCGCTCCCCCATCTCCCCCTGGCCGGGCCCAGGTGTTACCTCTCGGGGTTGAGGTCCACTATGCCCATAACTAAGATCTTCTTTCCCGGCCTCATTCCTCCTTTGATGTGCCCACAGAAGGGGACGATCTGGAAAGGACAGGGGGAAGGTGGCGAGGGTCAGCTCGGCATCAGCAGCGGCCGCCTTTTTGCAGCCGGGGCGGAGGAGAGGGGGGGAGTAAAGGTGTTAAAAAAAATAAAATACCGCCCACCTCCCCCCCCCAAAAGAAAGAAACCAAATAAAGGTGATTTACCAAGCGAGGGAAGTACACATCAGCTTGCACCGGGGATCCCAGGGAGTTGTTTAAATGCCCGTCCTCTATTTTCTGCAGGTAGAAAGGAGAGCGCTGAGGCAGGGCCAGGCGCAGCCCCCCCGCCCCCGCCCCGCTCCGCAGGTGCCCTGCCCGGCCCCCCCGGCCCCGTCCCGGTGCCGGTCCCGGTGCCCGGGCGGGGGGCGAAGCCGCACTCACCAGCGCGTCCCGCTCGGCCACGGTCCCCGCCATCTTGTGGAAGCGGCGGCGGCGGCGCTGGGGACAGGGCGGAGGGCGGGGGAGAGGGAGGGAGGGATGGAGGGAGGGAGGGGGGCTCTGTGGCAGCCTCGGCGGCGGAGGGGCAGCGGCGGAGCCCGAGCGGAGCCGGTGCAGAAGTAGGAAGGCGAGGAGGAGGAGGAGGAAGAAGAGGAGGAGGAGGAGGGGAGGTGGCAGGCTGGCTCTGCCTCGCCCGGCGGGGAGCCCAGCCCTTGGCCCGAGGGGGAGCCGGGCAGGGCGGGGCGGGGGCCGCTGCCGCTTCCTCCGCTCCGCAGCTCCGCGGCGGGGCCCGGCCCTCGGGCAGCGGGGGGACCCCGGGCCCGCTGCTGCGGTGGGGGGACGGCGGTGGGCCCGGCCTGGCGGGGTCCGGGACCCTCACCTGGCACCTGCAGGTGATGGATGCCCGGAGAGCGGCCACAGGAGCCCCACGCCCCTCATGTCAGGGAGCACCTTTATGTCTGAGCTTGGACACCTCGGCTAAGGCGAGGTGTCCTGGATGACTCCCCTTCTCCAGGGGTGGCTCGGCCGCTCCGAAATGAACCCCCACCCCGCTCCCCTCCGTGCCCCACGGCGAGGACCCTCAGGGGGCCGATACCCCGAGCGGGGTCGGTGGGCAGCGCTCCCGCCGGAGGGCGAGGGGAGCCCAAACCCGCCGTCCCTGCGGCCTCGCAGCGGGGCGCGGTGATTGCATAAGCCGGTGGATGCCGGTGGGGAGCTCCCACTGACATGCGGTGTCCGTAGTTATGCAATGCGGCCGTGCCGGCGGGGAGCACCGGTCGAGGCCACCAAGCCCTGCCCGTGCCATGCCAGGAATCCCTCGCCTGGACCACAGCAGGAGTGACTTGTGCCGTCAAACATGCTGTAATGATCATGTTGACGAGTTCGGGGTCCTGGGCGGGGGGAATTGAGGAAGGCTTTCTTCCCGCTTCCTCACCGCTGGGGTTTGATGGCATGAGTATCTCTTTAGAAACGTGACACAGCAGATGGACTTGGCCTGCGCTCTGCAGGACCTCGCACAGTTCCCTTGGCTTTTCGTGCCTCATGCCTGCACACTGGGGTTGGGTTGGTCGATGCCGCTGTCCTTCTTCCTCTGAGGCGCTGTGGGGATTAATTACATTGAGTAAAGTGAAGTGGAAGAAGCTAAGTCACTGCAATATTTAGGGTTTCAATATGACTGTGTCCATTGGGAAACGCTTGCAATCAGTGGGTGATGCCATCTGAAAAATCAAGAGGTACTGAGAGTAAGTGCAGATTGTGCAAGTGTTTAGACACTTGGCTAACTTTTTCAGCAGTGCCCACTAATTTGGGGATGTTTTCATCTCTGGATGCCCAGCTGGAGATGGCTCACAGAAGCTTATGTTTGAGCATACACCTCTACTGTAAGTCATGTGCTGAAGTCATGGCTTCTTCAGGTGTACCGGCACGGCTGGGCACGAGGGCAGTGAGCATCCCTGTGGCCCAGGCCTCAGCATGGGAAAAACCACTGGACTCTTTTCTTCATGCCGAATCACTGGGTGTCAGCTGCCACCACATGGAAAAGCATCTGGCTTGTATACTGCCAGGAGACTGAATTCATAAATAGTGCAGTAACATGAACCCATCACACAACACAAACAGCTGGCTTTTGAGTGGGGAGGTGAGTGCATTCACAACTTCTCCGCAAAGTGGAATTGGAGTTAGCTTGATGGGTTTGTCAGCTCCTGAGTGCTGCTTACCGCACCACAATCTGATGCCAACTGCATTAGGCTTTTTTTTCCTGCTGGCCTAAGAAGGAACAGAAATCACCCTGAATTTGTTTGTTTGTTTGTGTTTTTTTTAATTTAGTTGTATGGTGTTATGCATTGTCCCAAGAGCTCTTTTCAGAACTCCTTGTCTTCTGTGCTGTACAGGGAGCCACTTTGTTGGATAAGATTAAATTCATTGGACATAAAATCAGGCCGGCCAGTTATTTGTGCCAAAGCACAAACTTATGAAGAGAGAGGTAATCATTATGTCTTTGTTTTGTAGCTGGTTTTAATTGAACTTTTTCATTTCAAAATAATTAAATATCAAGACTTGTCTATTTGGCTGGCTGCTTTGCCTTGTGTTTGTCTTTTTGGCATGTTTTCTGAAAACTAGCACAAATGCAGCATTTATTTTGTTGGCCGTGGATTGTCTGAAACAACCTGCACTATGAAATTACGGTGGGAGAGAACATTCATCAGTTTTTAAGGCCCTGGTGGTCTGTGCCTTTCTGTTTCTGTGCCTTGTTCTCCTCTTACCCTGTAACAGCCCAGGAGGTTATTGAGAATCCCGTGTACAGTACAAACAAGGTGAGGCAGCCAGAGCAGGAGCTCTGCCTCTGTGTGCCGCTGTCCTGCCTGCGTGATGGTCACTCCTCTGGTTTCTCCAAGAGAGATGTTCTCCAGCAGAAGATTACCTGCCTCTGCATTGCCCAGCAGGCTGTGGAGCAGGATTCCATTTCTGAAATGGCAGCACCGTGCCTCTCACCCATGGAGGGGCTTCCTTGAGACCCAGCTTCCCAGCCCCTCTGCAAAGATCTGCAGGGTAGTACTGCACCTGAACTCCTGTACTTGTTCTTCTGAAAAAGGAGAGGTCTGAGCCAAATCTGTTCCCTCACTCATGTAGTCCTTGTTAAATCATCTTCACGAAATAGTATTTTTCCCATTCAGTATTTTTAACAACCTTCTTGGCAGGGAAGCTCTTGAGTTTTCATGCTTGAGGGTCTGAGCTTGCAGACCTTGTGGCAGTAACTGGAGCAACATGATAAATATTTGTGCACCACTGAAGTAGTGCTGAGGTACAAGTTACCAGACTTGTCTGGTTGACCAAGTGCAAAAAATGTTTTGGATAGGTATTGTCTTCAGTTTCTTGGTTTGTACAGCTTTTTGCCCAGTGGGAGCCTGGGACTCTTGAAATACAGAGAATCATATAAAGATTAAAAAGAAGTGACATGGTGTGAACACCGTTTGGGAGCATTTAATGACATACCCAGCCCAGCCACCAAAGCCATTGCTGAGAACTGGCAAACCCAGAATTTCATCTTAATCCCAGCACCTTGTATCTTGCAGCCACTCCCTTTGATGATTTAAAAAGGTGTATCTAATTCTTAGCCGGCCTTCACCAGCAAGGAATGCGGCACGATTGCAAATTTGGTGTGGTATAATTACCCTGCCTTTCTTGCCCTATTACCACTGACACTACTCTCCTCATGACTGGGTTTATAGGCTGACTTGTAGAACCTCTCTGGTTTGTTTTGCTTTTTTAATAACAATGTTGAGAAGATGGGAGGTGTTTGCTGGTTTCATGGAAGCTTCCTTTGGTTTCTGGGTGGCAAAGCACTCAAGTCCTGTTTTTTTGTGAGACTCGGAAAAAGCTGAGTCATCCAATAAAGGAGAATGTCTTGGAGTAAGTTTGATTCAGTGGTTGGAGCCAAGTGTTTAATAGTTCAGAGGAATTCCTCCTTTTCATAATTACAGCAGTAAAATGGCAGTGCTGATAACCAATTTGGGTTGTGTGATTTTTTTTTTTACCTTTGTATCTTTGCCACTGCAAATCCTCAGGCAGAGGTCTATTTTTTTCAGGCATAGATTTGTCCTGAGTGGGTGTTCAAGGCAGGACTTGGGAGAGGATAGTAGTGACAATGAATAGGGGGTTGGAAGGGGCAAGGGCTGGAGAGCAGAGCAGGAGATGTTGTACATGCCCTGTTGCAGCGTGGCTTCAAAGTGTTCCAAGGACAGGTTCCTCTGGCACTGTGTGCCAAGGCTGAAGCATGGGATGCCGTGTACTGGTGGAAATGTTCCCGAGCCTGCCCTCCCACGCTCACCCGTGGGAAAGACAAATGACAGTTATCCGTACGGACAGCGTGGAGAGAGTGTTTACCACGCCTGTGCGCTTTCACAGGCTAGTGCTGTCACATCCTCATGGATGGAGGAGGGAACCCAGGGCCAGGAGCAGCACCCCTCTCCAGACATTTATTTCATGTGGCTTCCTTGCTTCTTGTTGCCCCCTGAGTTATTACGGTCAAGAGTTTTGCCCTTAGGGGTTCGGTCTCCGGCCGTGCACAAATCCAGTGGAGAAGTCAGTTTTCTGGGGCTCCCAGTAACGGGTTGTGTAAACTGGTGTTTAAGGAGATGGTCCTGGTGACTGAGTCGTTTGGTTGCACGCAGAACCGCTGCACATCTGCTGCAGAGCAGGTGTGTATCAGAAATACCTGTCTTGAAGATTGTTTACTGCAGTTTGCCCCAGGAGCCAAGGGCATGTACATAAAGGCAAGTTGGATATGGCATTACCTGCTGGTTGAAGGCTGTTGACATTCAGGATCTTTCAGCACTTCCAATCCTTTCTACAGAGAATCAATGTTTAAGTGCATCACAGGCTGGTCTTTCCTGCTCTGTCTTGTTTGGCACTTCTTTGGTATTTTCCTATCTCAACAATTTTTTCATGAATCTCATAACTTTGGTTCTTTTGTCTTTCTGTTTCAGTGTTGAGGCCTTTGTCATTTCACAAATACCTGGCTCTTATTTTATTTAAGCTGCTTTTTTGTTGTTGTTGTTGTGGGGTGGGGGGTTGTTTGGGGTTTTTTGTGTGTTTGTTTGGTTGTGTTTTGTTTTAAAGAAGCCATTTCTAGCAATTTGAGAATTTAGCTATTTTCATAACAACTGAAATCTAGTGGCAAATAAAAAGGACCATTATATACATGTATTTAAAAATCTTGTGATTTTTCAGTCCAGCTTTGGCAGGAGGGGATCAGGACTTAAGGAAGCCACCTCCAGCTCACTGCTTGCCTCTCCTCTTTGCAGACAGGGAGTCCCAAGGTGCCAGTCAGGAGGATGGAGAGGGTTGGAGAACCACTAGGAGCATTGGTATGTCCTTGCTGTTATGTGGGACAGGGAGTCTGGGAGGACAGAGAATCCTGGCTCTGCCATGCTCAGGCTGCTGCTGCCAGGTGGCAGTTCACTGGTGGCCCTTTTTGCTGAGGGGCTGCTCTCCCAAGGGGAACAAAATCTTGCCTCCTCCTGCCTTTCCAGTTTTCTCAGAGCTCTGTGGCTGTTGTTGTAGGTGCTGATTCCTGTTCATCAGCTGGAGTGCTGTGACTCTTGTGCCCCCCACCCCCCCCCAGGTGATGTCCACAATAAAATGATCTTTCCTGTCTTCTGACTGTGCTGCCATAGGACATCCTGGGGTGAGGAATTGTTGTTTGGGGATGAATCTTGGGGGAGAATTGAGTTTGGGGTCATTTTTTTTTGTCCCAGCACCCTTCCCAGCAGGCAGCAGGGTTGAGTTGAGGTGCTTTAGGAGTCAAACCAAAGCAGAATATGTGGAGGTTGTAAGGCACCTGTGAAAGT